CACACCTAGACGGACCAAGAAGCAATACACATCCGAATATTTGGACACGCCCTCCGCGTACAGCACCCAGGTTCACTCGAAACAGTTCACCCAGCGCCGACACAAACCAGTTCTGACTAGACTGCTCAGTGAGGTTCCCTAAGCGCATTTCCAAAACCTGAAAAGAAACAACATATTATAATTCTTGATTCTGCACCAGTTTGCAAATGTTGGTCAAACACAAGAAGTTTACATATACTCAAAATGCGTGGAGGACAGAACAAGCTGCCTACAGGCACAAAGTACAATTGGAACAATTAAATAAAGAGGTGTAGGGGATGGATCAGACATGTAAAAAGAAACGCAAATACATAATCTCAGACAAAAATATAAAGTCAAAACTTTGTAGTATATAATATATAAAATTTGTATGTAAAACATGGTATTTGTATAATTAAAAAGCAAATACAAAAAAAAACCCACACACACACTTTTTGAGTATTCTTTCAATGGCCTCAAGGTTTGGTCACAAGACTGGGCCTAAAATGGTGTGAATAAACATTATTTGTCAGCTACAAAACAGGGCAACCAAGGTTCTAACAGGTCACAAGCCCTCTTGCACTCACGTGTTCTGATCCTCGCAGAAGTACATCAGGATGTGACATAATCACATGGCGTAGGATGTCACTATGCTGACCCTTCCATTCACAGGGAGGTACCATTATACAGCGATAATTCCTGTATGCGCAATTTGCTTCGTGTCCATCTTTGTCACGTAGACGAAGTGTGTCCGTGCATCCCAGGTGTGCATTCTTGCACGGATAGTGTAATTTGTCAGCAACCTGTTGGAAGAGAAGGTCTCTTTCTAAGACAAATTAAAACTAGTGCTACAAGTTGAATTTAAACACACACTGGCAAGTTCTTAAAGTACGTGATCTAGCACGATCTTTGGTGTTCTCTGGCCCATTTTATTTCTAAATTTAAATCAAAACAATTTCAATATTAAGGCATGAAAATGGCCAGCATGATATGTAGGTGTTTATCTGTGGCCTATTTAATGACGCTGTCACTACCAACATTATGCAGCACAATATCTTCCTTTGTCTGGTGAATTGTACGTGTTATAACACATAATTTAGTTGGTACTGACACTTCACATACAAGACCTATTATTGACATATTATCAGTAACAATTCTATTATTTACAAGTGATTGTACACAGTGCATCAACCTTTTCCATGGCAAGGTTTCGAGACTCTGTAAAACGAGAGCGACATGTTGGGCAGCTTGGTAACTTGGGTTTGCATGTAGAGCACACAAGATGTCCTCGGCGGCACTGGTGTATTGGTGGACCCATGTACTCCATGCAAACTGGACACTCCAGCAATCCAATCAGTCCTTGGTTAAGAATCTCATCCTCATCTCTGATTCGCTTCCAACTGCAAAGAGTAAAACCAAAACTCAATGCCTTCGAGCAGAATATGCATGACTTTGATATCAGTGAGAAGAGCAGAGGACAGCAGAATCGGATGTTGGCCAACAAAAATGTGACAAATGTGATGCAACAGAAGATACCAGAAGAATGCACAGAACTGAAAAAGCTACTTCTGCTGCTGAATGCATGAAGATACTTGAAGTATCTAAAGTTACCTCCTGAATATCAATGTTATGAAATTAAGGGAAATTTTTCATGAAAATTAGATAAATTACAGCAATATTATAGGAATATTCCTACATACATTAAAAATTAACTTCTTTATTCTTGGGATGCAAAGTGAAACACTAATTACATAATAAGCAGGCCATCACATACGTAATGGATGGATGCAGACGGGTATGACGAAATGATAGAAAAGTAACCGACGAGAGAACCGAAGTACTCAACTAAACTTCGCTCTCCATAAATCTCAGATGGAATGCCCGGGGCTTGAATCAGGTCTTTCATTTTCAGAAGCTAGAGCTACAGTACGCCTACTCCAAATGCTGACTGTAACACACCTTGGTTCATCGGTGCATTCTTGAGGCTTGCCTGCTTGGCGCTTCTCCCCACGTTGTGGTTGGGGATCATCCACCATGATGACCTCCACTCCCCCTTCATCTGCCTCCACTACATCTGGCGTGCTCTGGAGAGATTCATTCATGGGTGGTTTTTCAGGACCCGTAAGGTTCAAGCACTGGGGACTAGGAGCGTACGAAGGATTTGAGGGCCCAGCCATCGATAAGACCTACCACAAGTAAATGACATTCAATCAAAGATTTGTCCTACAGTGCTCAACACTGTCAATTGCTTATGATTGTACAGGTAACCTAATTTGAATAGGAAGTTATGATGGGATGGAATGTAGATCAGATCAACTACTTAACAATTCCAGGGCAGAAATAATTAAACTGAACCATTTTGTTAGCAATGTACTCAGACAGACACAGAAGGGGATTCAATGTAAAATTCTGCACAATCACATTCCAATCCAATGCTGTATTATTGAGTCCGGCAGTTATTAAAATTAAATCAAATACAGGCTACCCTGAGAACCACTTCACCTGTATCTCAGAAGGATCCTCAAATGTATGAGAAGCAGCAGAGCTACAGTCTTCAGGAATCAACCGTGGTACACAAGACTCACGTTGAAACGTATTATCCTGGAACCTCACTTGTTTGTTGCATCGCCTTTGCACTTTCTTCTGAACATACCTATTACAAAAAGTAACTGTAATTATTCTTAAAAATTATCCTTTATCCATCCTTGTGGGAAGGATTCCAACATGATTTTCCCACACAGGTCCACTGTTACATGATTTTGGCAACAAACATCACAAATTATCTGCCATACTATGATTCTGTGCAGTGTTATCTTTGCTACTTGCATGCTTTGACATCTCTTCTACCGGGTCTACAAGTTATGAGGCTGCGGTCGTGCTTGCATTGCGTCGAGTATTTCAAATCATGCTAACGAGATGTGAAGTTGCCTGCAAGCACAAGTAAGTCCCTTTGAACATCTTTTGTGATTTAAGTTAAGAACAATTAAGGTAATAACATGTATTAGCGACGAGAAATATTCGTAGTTCACTGTTACTAGCGGCACTGAAACAGATTCGCTGGTCACCCACCAGAAGAATGCGCACAACTCCCGCCGACATCAACAGAGCGCCGGCCGACCACACAATGCAAGCAGGACCACAGCCTCAGAAATTGTAGACCCGGTAGTAGAAACTTATGTAGGAATAACCGATGGCAGGCAGTGACATTGTTCAAAGCACAACTGCAGATTTATGATTCATTTAATGAGACTGACAGCAGCGCAAACTAAAATCTATTTCTTTAATATTTTAAAATTAATTGTACCTGGAATAATTAAGGGCAGAAAAATAAAAGACAGGTAAGAGCTAGTGGATATTTAATTTATAACACCTTCAGCATTCCAATGATGAAACACTAAGCACAAAAAACAATACTCTTTACAAAGAAATATTTATAACTTAATGTAGCAATGTTCCTGAATGCATACATACCAACTAGCTGGGGGGCACATGAATCCTGGAGGTGAAATGGGAATTAATGGTACATCCATTATGGCAGACATGACAGTGGAATCACGTTGGCCTGCCTGCGTCTGCAATTGTGCTGAAGGCCCTGGGACAGCATCCGAGCAGTCTGTCAAATAAACAGGTTAAGTAAGTTTCATTAAAATTTCTTTCTACCTGCGTTACAATATTTCATTTTTAAATCATAATAAATAAACTGATGTAACAAGATAAGAGTAACATTCTGAGAATGATTCTCGTTTATGTAAGACTGCATTTTTTCAGATGCAAAGGTTATATGGCAGATGGTAGTATAGGAATGAGTTGTGGCCGACATTAAGGAGATGGTAAAACTAGAGATCTCGATCAACATAGCTTATGCCGAGGAGAGCTGAACCCAAGATCTTCCAAGTATGATGCATAAGTGCTAACTACATCAAACAATTGGCACTTCTGATCAACTCTGACAGTAAAAGTAGAAAAATCATTGTTTCCGCAAGGGTGTCGAACCCACGACATTTTTACTCTCAAGCTGACAAACCCAACTAAACATACAAGTTTATACCCAACCTGGTGCAGTAGTAGCAGCAGTGGTATCAGAAGTATCTGCAGAGCTGACAGCAGTAGAATCCGACGGCCCGAACAATGATGGCGGCTTCTTGGACGGGGAATTCAACCTTGCAATATTTGACAGAGTCCTCCACCTACGGTAAAAAAGGAGCCATCAACCCACTATGCAAAAAATGTAGATCTGGTTCAAATATCATTTTAAAATTAGACACTCTGGATAACTTTGCTTTGCTGAGGACTTGCTGTTTCTGACATCTACTGAAGACACATTGCACTAAGATCTAAGTTGGTTTTTTAGCCCCACATTATCCCATCGTTACATTTCTGTTGTGTGACTGATGCAAATTAAGACAGATTGTAAACCAAGTCGGTTAACAAACAATGTGTGTAGACAGCAGATTCTACTTATAGAACAGGAACAATATTAGAATATGACAACTCTTCTCTGATGGTAGTAATATTAGCATTGGTTCCAAACCAGAGTCAGCACTATTCAGTAGGAAAGGAAGCAGAAGATGGAAATTAATTTATGTGGAAAAACTTTATGACTACAACATGAAAAATTATTTTGCCTTTCAACCAAGAGTAGCACAACAGGATTTTATTATAACTAGAAAGAAACTCATTCTTACAGTACTTCTAGGTCCTTAAATGTCACTCATCAAATGACTGAAGATGAAATTATTAAGACCAATGGTGCACCCAAGAAAAATTTAGGTCCTTACAATGTAAATTACAGAGTTTTAGTTCTGCTGTCCCTCTAAACAAATTCTGGGCTAATACCTTCATTAACAGATCCAAGACCAGCCACTTCCAAACCCTTTCCTACTCTCCATGGATTCTTCATGCCATCCTTACCCTTCGCCATCTTCTTGGCCGATGTTGTTGCCGCTGGCAGGGGCGCTACCAATATCGGGACCCTGTATCACCGCCTGATCAGGAGTGATAGTATTAGACATACCACAACTGCTGATGGAAGAAGTATTTGGAGTTACGCGGCAGTCAATCACTTGCATGGGTTTATTCATAAATTGCTGTCTCTTTTGCCCCCAACCACACAACGAAGTGTACATGGAGCGATCGTACCAGAGAGGATCGCTCGCTGAACTCCTGTCATTGTTAGCATCCCTCTCTGCATAGTCATGGTGCAGCAGATGGCTGTAGTTGGTTGCAGATGTTCCCGCACCTGGATCCAATCCTTCGTACCTCTTAAATGCAAAATAATAATAATAATGTGAAATTTTAGCTTCTCATGGCTGAGAGTATATCTTCTGGGTTTCTGTGCAATGTAGCCACAAACAAAATGTTTCTGATCTAAATTATACAAACTTTTAACTAAAACTTAACAAAGCATGCATTGGTAATATCATACTTGGGTAACACAAGTCACATCAGCAGCTAGCATGCTACTCTTATGCATTTGGTCTACCAACAAACCCTGGTCTAGTCAGAAAATTGTTATTATTTGGAGTTTCAAACATGTCGCACATTATTACAACTGGTATTATTTATTTTCTTCTTGGGAAGAACTTCTTACTTAAAAACAGATATCGTAAGTCCCCTCAAGATTCTTGTTAAGGGCCAGCATGTAAAACACAGAAGTGGGTAAGCAGGACGTGTGTATGCCTACTGCGGCATTTAACACTACCTTCAGTCCACCGGAGGAGTCAAACATGTAGTTAAAGGAATCCAAAATATGACAGACTGATGAAGGGTCTCTTGACTGTTTGCTCTGAGCAGCTGGAGTCACTGAAGAATGTTTCTCTCTGTTTGTGCTCAAAGATGAGGAGCCATTTGCCATTGTAGTAGGTTCAAAGGACTGATAAGAACTGAACGAGGACATTGCTGTGCCCACGTCTGAGTCTGCAATAATAAATACAAACAACATAGCACACACACATACACACCTATTCTAGTCATCAATAAATGGATATACCAAGGCTCCAGAAATATGATTGCCCATGCACCATGGCTAAGTTAGCAAACTATGACTCTGAGTAAATTTTCATGTTTTCTAAATGCCCTGAAGATGGGAGCAGTATGATCATCCAAAATATGGCATCTACCTACAAGTTCACATGGCATTACCACCCAGAAGACCAACAGAGACATCTTCTCTGCCGTGTGAACCTCCATTCTCAGAGTAATTGATGTTCTTAAATTCTGATATGAAGATGAATTTAACTGATGCACAGTTGCTAAGTTTAAGTACAGTTACTGGAAGTAGTATAAATAATTACAATCTATCACATCCATGTAACTTGAGACTGATTTTCCCCAGCAGGGGCAAGATCTTTCTTTTCTCTACTGCATCAACTGACTCTGGGGCCCACCATCTTATGAAATGGGTACTAGTAACTTTCCAAGGCGATAAACCGGCCGGAGCGTGAAGACAAACATTTACCTCCACCTAACGCCCAGTTTAAAAATATGTTAAATTTTACATCCATCCCCTCATGTAACTTCATGGTTTTCTCATGTTTTAGCCTGCACTTTACAGTACGCATAAACAATTTAATCTATAAAATCCTAATTTAAATATGCATAAGTCATTCGTAACTCAATGCGCAATGTACATTCTGCTAACCCAGATTGAGCTTTGGGTATGCTTCGGACTTACGTTGCTTATAAGAACACTGCTACTGATTTCATACACTGGATAACAATTTCACTAACCAGAACTCCATTCCGAAGATTCAGAATCACCAGCTGGTTCAATAATTCTCCTCCATTTGTCATGATTTCGATGGCGTGATGGCCGTTCTGGGGGGTCCATGGTTAAATTATAAAAAACCTAAAGAAATATGATTTTACAAAATAAAATAAACGGTCTTTTTCCAGACATACTTCCAAACAATACAGCTATGTTCCTTAAACTATACGAATATATTTCTTAAACACAATTGCACATCAAAAACTTGATTTGTAGTGTGTTTCAGACACATGTTAATGTACAATATCCAAGTTCTTACCAATTTTTTTCTTTCTGCTTACACATTCCTTCCTCAAACAATAACTGCAATAGCCTTTTCTGAATGGAAACTACGAACAAACTAAATGAAACTTGCAACTGATAATACCACACACTTACTTACGACTCCATTAATGGGTGACTCATAAATACGTCACACGCACTTCCTTCATGGCTGCCAACTTGAACTATTCTCTCTTTTCAATTGGATCTTAGAAACAATTTTGTGACATGGTGGATTTGGACAACTGTCACATAAAGTATATTTAATTATAAGACTGGGTCTGTTAGACCTGGTATAAAACACGGTATAACTACAGTCAACACACCTATCCATTTGGCGCGAGGCCTGATGCGCAAGAATGTAGTCCCATGTATGACGTCATACGCACTACAGTTCAGTTTTCAAATCCCCCCCGCCGTTACACTTATCAAAATACTTTAACCATGGAACTTTCTGACCGCATTTTCAGGGGTGAGGGGGGCACAAAGCCGAAAATAACATGAATCTGGAAGCTACTTTTGGCTCCTCACAGTTCAGTCTCAAAATATCAACGTCAAAAAGAAAGAAAAAAACCCAAGAAATTTCACTTCCTGAAAACTCCCATTCTTCATGAATTACTTTCAATCATGCATTCTTGACTTCAACATAAAAAATTTGTAAACTATTTGTTCACATATTACTCTTTAAAAGCAAACATCTTGGGAGCTGGGGTAGCTCAGTCAGTATAGTGACTGACTACTACCCAGACTGGCCCCCGAGGCCCACTCAGCCTCCTGTCCAGTGGGTACCAAGGTCCTTTCCCAGGGGTAAAGCGCTGTCAGAGTGTGATGGGGATCACTTACCGCTATCAAGTGTGGGGTTAAGAACGAGTTGGAGTTATATTTCCTCTCCCCTAAAGCACCTACATGGCATATAGCAGGTCAACTTTTATTTACATATGAAATCACAATTATTAAGTCGAACATAATGGATTACTGCCACGTGAATAAATTTATACTTTGCTCTGGCTACATATCCTTATACAGCATGTAAATTTCAAGCAACACCTGTATGTGGCATTGCCATTACTGGTGAAAACACATCTTCCCATCATACACAGTCTACCACACATCATTTTTAGACCACCCTATCTTACAATATACACTAACAAAACAGTTTCTGAAACACTAAAACTTCTCTTCTGTGCAAGAAAATTTATATTATTTATAAATATACAGACAAATAAGACTGACATATTTTTATTTGGAAAAAATAGGAATGGAAGGATCTTGTTAACAGATATCTTATTCTTCTCAGTGTTCTCAAAAAGCACTAGACATCTGTATATGAGCTGTGGACAGACATAGTTCTGTGATAATGTTGGCTTAACTGTCCTACCTTTCATTAAGAACAAATACTTGCTTTACATAAGTATGTTCTTTCACCTTTCCTGAAAACCTGCAGGACAGAAAATTATGAAAGAATTTAACTTCACATAATATCATTAGAAATTATGAAAAACTGAATAGGATGATCAGATTTTAATCTCTCAGCACATATCAGACACTAAAATATGTGAAAAATTAGTTTAAGAGGAACCTTAACATCACCTGTTTTACTGCTGTATTCATTATGTCAGATGGTAACATAACACATAAAGCAATTTTGCAATTTTCCTTTTTTTACACTGGCTGTTACTGTCATTCACAGCAGACTTCTACCTATTTTTATGTTTCCAAAAAAAGGTGGTGATCTGCATTGCATATCAATCTTTCACAGGATTGGCTTGATGCGTAATGCATTTGCCAGTAGATTTCCAAGGATTGGGAGGGGAATGATTTTGGAAAATAATTTTGGTCATTCACCTACCATAACATGATTAATTAAACTGGCGATGATTTCAAATGAAAATAAATGTAACTTATTCATTACTGTGTTATGGAATTGTTATTCTTCCATGAGTCAGATAAATACATTATTAATTGGTTGTTTCTGGAATTTGCTCCACTGCAGTTGGTGAGGTTTGTGACCAATTTGGTTCAATTACAATAGCTTCACTTTACATTTGACCGTGTCATAGGTGGTCCTAGGTTTTTTATTTACATTTATTTATTTAAAAATAGGGTTCATATGAAACATGACTGTCTGAAACATATCAAGAATTAATACTAACTGGAGAATGAAACTGAAGAGTTCTTTATAAAAGTTTTTTTTAAATCTATATTTATCCTATTTACATATCAGTCATACTCACACTGATCTGCATTAATTTAATAACCTTAAATGTTTCTTTTCCAAAATATTATGAATTACAATTGTAAGCTGCAGTTTCAAAAGCTACCTCTTTCTTAACCAGTAATGTTCTGTGTTAAATTTAAAAAAAAATACAAAGATGTATTTAATTGAAACATAAATCATATCAAGAAAGTACTCAGATAATGACAAATGCTGAGCAATCTTAGAAATCTGTTATAATGCACAGATACAAATATATAACAAATAATGTTAGACTTAATCCTCTGTTGTTTCATCACACAAACCTGCAGCCTAGAGATCAATTACAGTACCAAATTACAGGATTTAGATAAGAGGTGTATAACCAAAAATAATCTACAAACAATTCAGTGCAGTCACAACACAATGCAACATTTTACAACAGCTACATTTCAGTACAGTTCATTGGATGACATACACAGGTTATTCAACTTGGTAACAGTACAAAGTTCATACTTAGAGTAGAATAAACATTTCAAGATAGCAACAAAATTAATTTTATGCGGAGAAATGAACTTCCAAAATTCTGAACCTTACATTGTAGCAGTTTAATACTGTCTGAAATAGTCCCATGTAGTAATATTGGAATCATGTATCATACTTTATAGAATGTTATTGATTTTATATTGTTTTTAATTCTATATATAAGGCACGGAGTAAGGTAAAATTGTTAAAAATAGTTATAGAATTCTATATGTTGTTGTTAACACCAGGAACTAATTCTACACCTTTTGAAACAGAAAACTCTAAATTTATCAAAGAAAGGTTTTGGCAAATGGAAAATAATTAACAAAATGACAGCATAAATGGGATGAGCCAGTCTTTTGTATTATTAGCACTCCTACTTCATAGTCAGGAATTCCGAAGTTGAAGTCTCAGCCTGAAGACCGGCTAAACAAACTGAGGTTTTTCATGAATATCCTTAGTCCCTCCAGGCAAATGCTGTGATAGTACCTTAAATCAGGCCATCATAACTTCTTTAAATATACTTTCCAATACATTGTTGATTAATAATCCTACAATTTTACAATATATACTGAGACACATGACAGCATCATTAAACAAACCATGGGTAAATAAATTTTGTATTCCACACAAATGAAATACACCACATGATTATACACCATTATATGGTGATTTTGATAGCACCGGAATTTCTAAAATTGTTAACAAAAAGAATGGTTAATGTCAATGAACAATTTAATGTTGATTTTTAATAATTCAAAACTATCAACATTGGGGACTGCTCAAATTACAGCAAAGCAAGTTCACAATATGATACAATATCAAAACATAAGGACTAATAAACGTTTGTGTGGGTAAAAACCCTAATTGAGAAGTACTCTGAACTCTGCTATATAACAACTGACTGTATACGATTAAAACAGGTTAAAACTATCTGTTTTGAAATGCTTCAACTTATTGTGCCTAGATTATGTTACAGTGAGCAATGCACACTGGGTTTACAGTAAAATTAATTTGGAATTATAAACTTCTGATGTCCAAATGAATTTGCAATGATGAAATTGAAAAAATGTTTATATTTATATTTAATAATGTTCCCTCATGTAGTCCTGTTCATAATGCAGTAACAACTGTAGTTTAATGTTCTAATAACAGTGCACAGTTTACCCTCTCAATCTTGTGCACAGCTCCTCAATGGAGCATTTGTTTCCATACACATTACCATAAATTTGTATAATCATAATATTACCTTCAGGACTCTAGAAAATGTACAGTACCACCGGCACAATATTGTTCTTGAACAAAGTTGAGGGTAATCAGCCCTCATTTCCTTGAATATCTCTACAAAAATTAAAGTTAAATACTTTGACATTAGTTACAATTAATTATGTTATGGGATAACCTGGTAACATTTACATCCATTTCAAGCTATATGATCCATGTCATGCACAATTACTGCTTTCAAATCAGCACACACCTTACCTTACATTAGTTTTAATATATAAAAAAGGCATAATACAACTTACGAAGCTCACATTTTGACTGTAAGGCATAAATACGAGAAGAAAAACAGAATCCATAACTTACAACACTTTGTACTCTTTAAAAAAATATAGGCATAAATATTTCCCGAGGCACTTTCCATTGTGATTCAAGCACAGTTGAGTTCACTCAGAACACACCTCATGTCTCTTAAATGACTAGTTACATGTACTGACCAATGTCAAACACTTAAAAGAAGTTTCTTTGAGCCACAGTGAGAATGATTCATCTTCAGTGCACAAACACAAACTCGACTAACAAATGTGTGTCAAGATGTCAAAAGAGAGTAACCAAAGTAACGTCATCATGTACACACACATATATCCAGTTCCCAATATCAAGTGTAATTATAGGTGGAGGTCATGGACTTTCTTGCATCAAGAGTCTGATGTGGCAGAAACCTCACCAAAAGTCCCATCCTTGTCTCCTGTCCTGCTACAAGAGGTACGGAAATATTTCCTCATCTTCACTGGATTCCTGACTGGAAGGAGGCGTGTCAAGCTGAGGCAGTCCGAGGTCTAAATACTCCTGCACAACAATCCTCAAGTGTCTCAAGCAAAGAATAAATGCAATTATATTAACTAAAATTTCTTATTAAATAATAACTTCCCTCCATTTTGGTTTACAGTGTCCCTCACTTTCTGGCATCTTCCACTAGGTCACAATTCCTTTAAGAAATGCACTGTATTGTGTATTGTGTCTGCCATGTGCACAGAATTTTTGCAAAATAAGACATATTCAGAGACAAAATAAGGCTGTCATCTTAATTCAGTTACTGACTGCATCAATAAGTTGTTCAAGATACATGGGAAAAGGGTTAAGCATTAATTTAAAAACAAAATCATAGCATTTCAAGTTCCTGATACAAGAAACACACATATTTATATAAGGTTTTCAACAGTTAATCTCTTTTCTGGCCAAATGTACAAAAACTCAATGTACACTGGTATAAAGGCAACATATTCTCGAACAAATGAACTGTCAATCGTGACTTTCCAGACCTCCATTCTCAGGGTAACAACTGACATCCTCACTAGCAAGAGAACCTTATATCTCAGAATAACTCAACAATTTGGCTCCATTATCTCACTTGACCAAAATGTTTTCAAACAGGATTTGAACCTGTCACAATTCCTTTCTGAAGAACAGTGAAGCACGAAGGAACTTCATCTGGGTCCAGATGTGAAACAATTCAGAATACATTACTTAACGACTAAACTAGTGACTTCTCTTACCTCATTGGCAGTGATGGTGAGAATGCGATCCAAGTCTTCAACGAGTTCCCCGAACATCGGCCTCTCATTTGGTTGGTAACTCCAGCAATCACGCATCAACATGTAACTAAAACATACAACCCATTGATTTTTAAATCAGGCAACTTTTGTGTTTTTCCACATGATTTTTAGAATATGAGTTCAGAACCTTTCTACAGACAAAGTAATATGTAAGTTCCTGCGTGTAATTGCGTCACTGTGCTGATGACTACCTCCCTTCGTTGCCTGAGGTCCAACAGTTAAAATTTATTTTGTCTGAATTTAAATCTTTTTTAACACATGCAAGTGTGAAAATAACTGCATGAATGTTATTTATTCTCAAGCAACTGCTGAAGGCTGTACAAAGCAGTTTTGGTGTAAGAAATAGTAACTGTCAAAACTTTTGCATCGATATTCGATAATAATTGAAACACAAAACCGAAGATTACATCACAGACTTACATTTCAAGAGAACAGCAGGGTGGTTTCTCCATTCGGTGTCCACTGCGAAGCAACTGAAACAATTTCTCGACACTCGGTACCGATGGATATGGGGTGCCTCCCAGTGTCATGATCTCCCATAACAGGATGCCATATGACCACCTGCAACAAATGCATAGTGCTAAACTGAGAGGTGGTACAAACTGAAGGTCTAAAACTAACGTAAATACAAAGCTAACCACTAGATCTGATCACAATCCATTTACCTAATAACCATATTAATATTATCACAAAATATCTCCATTCCCTTATCACCCATTGGATTCTAATCCATACTCCATAGCAAGTTAGAGAAGACTGAAGTGTGATTTATTGCTGATGGAGTTTACGAACATCCAGATCATGATAGTGCTTGCTTAAGATACTATAGGATGGTCTGGGCCCACACAACTTGCTCTTTAAGTCAAAATTGGAGGTTATAATTCTGCCATGCTTATCTAAGTACTTACACGTCTGACTGTGTTGTGTACACACGGTGAAATAGAGCCTCAGGGGCCATCCATTTCACAGGCAGTCGGCCATCAGTGGTTTTGCGGTAATAATCATGACAGTGGATATCTCTTGCTAGACCAAAATCAGCAATCTTCAGAACATAATCATCACTCACCAGGACATTGCGAGCAGCCAGATCACGGTGGATACACTGTGAAACACAAACACATGGTCAACATGCCATGTGGTGGTGCGTTATTAAGACTGACTTGAGTCTTACATATAATGTTAACATAAACGTTCAGGTCAAATGATATAATAAATTTTAAAAAAAAGTAATATAGTATGCTGATCTACCATGAAGTGTTAAATCACAAGTACATCTTCAAGTAAAACAATCAGTATTATTGTCCAATATTTACAAAAACTGAAATGCATCGGCAAACATTTAAAAATCACTGATATCATATTTAATGAGAATTTGTTCAGTGCTTCTCAAGTTGTTACACACAAACAGAGAAACAAGGTGAAGCTAAGAGGAATGGTTTTGTAACACATAGTTGTGAAAATGTTTAACAATCACAGACAATTTACACAATAACTGCATCGGGACAATGCCGACCACTACGCAGTGAAATAATACTGTAATTTTTATTCTGATGCAACCATCATATGTAGCACTTGGTAGCATGTCCATCTGGTGAGATATTCAGGAAGTACAGTAACAGCAACTCACTCTCCGGGAGGCGAGGTACTCCATACCGCGGGCAACTTGGTAGGCAAAAGAGACAAGATCTTTCTGGGTGAGCGTCTTCTTCTCTTTGAGGTCCGTGCCAATGGCAGGCTCATAACCAGATGAGGGTCTATGCTGTCGTAGGAAGTCCCTCAGGTTTCCGTGCGGGGCATACTCCACCACAACATACAGTGGTCCGTCCTGCGTGCAGCAACCCAACAGGTTGATTATGTTGATGTGCTTGCCTATCATCTTCATCATCTCCATCTCGGACACCAAGTCCATCATTTCCGTATCTGTGTGGCCCTCTGCAATGATAACGATCGCATTACATTGTACACACACTGGAATTAACAATTCAGTTCCCAACTACTTCCAGTGCATTATGTTTGTTTTAGCTCAGATGACAGAATTCTGAATTGCGCTCATAAATGCAACTCTGACACACTTTCTCTCACCATAGATGGAATTTTTTGCTTTTATTTTCATATTTTAATTATTACTGAAGCAGGAAATTGGACAGGTATGAGTATATTACATGCAATACGTAAAGCTGTCCCACTACATGCCATGAAGGAGCTTGTACAGAGAGGAGATATAATTCCTACTCATTCTTGACCTCAGCACTAGACAGAGATGAGTGGTCAGCATCGTGCCTTGGGCGCAATCTACCCCTAGGAAAAGGATCAACATTATCAAATGGATGGATAGGTGGCTGGGTGGATCCCAGACCCTGTCTGGATGCTGACGCTAGAGGAAAAATCCTTTGCCACTGCTCAGATTGAAGACCGGTCATCCAGTCTGTAGTAAGACACTATGACTGAGCTACCACGGCTCCTATTGAGTATTAAGAAGAGAATAAGAAGGAAAACAAGAACATCAGGCAAGGTCCACCAGAAGAAGCACTACCTCAAAATCTGGTAAAGTAACACACACAATGTACAATGAAAGAGACACGGTCAAAACAATAGGCTTCCCTTCATAGACCCAGAATGAAGGTGATAAATAAATATACACTGAAGAGATAATGGAATATATACAAAGACTAAATGGTGGAATATACAGAATGTACCAGAATAAAGCTACCACACTGCAAAAATTCATATTGTAAGTACAGCAACACACAGACAAAAACTGTTACATTACTAATTGTGTTCAAGGCTGAAGATCATATGTTTCTCAGAAACACGGGTATTGACCTACAAGTCCATGTGGAATAACCACCCAAAAGACCAATAGTGACCTGAACAGTTTTATGTTCTCCAGCGCCAAATATCAGAGAGACAATTAGAGTAGTAAAATCCCCTTTTTTCTGAGTACACTTCTAAATGACTAATTCTAAGCTTTGGTGACACACAGACCTTATTTTCTCAAAAAGAAGCATAGGAAAATGAGTAACTACATAACAGTTCCTTTTTATAGGTAGGTATATCACACATTCTCAAAACTACTGTGTCATCAGTACACATGATTTTATAATACTAAATTGTAGTATTCTTCTGCCAATTCTTGAACTTATGTTCTTGCTGAAAAAGTCTTAAAGTGAACACGTTTAAGTCCTTTGTGATATGATACTTCATTACATACCTTTAAGCATCTTAACTGCAACAATTGTGCCGACTCCTTGTTTTACTATGTTCTGCCCCTCCGCCTTCACCACTCTTCCAAAAGCTCCTTCGCCTAGAGACTTGCCCAAAGTGAGCATGTCGCGTCGTATTTCCCACTCGGTGTCAAGTGGAAGCTCATACTCTGAGATCATGAGGTCTGAGCCTGAAGATGTAGTTCCCATCTGGCTGTGTGACTTCTGTTTTTCAATTTTCACTATTGGCATCAGCTGCAAAGAGAAAGCTTTATGAAAGAATAAATAATCTCTAACTCATTTACATTTACATTATACAACTCCTAACCTTAAACTGATATTCATCTGTTATGTCTCTTACCAATCATAACACCCTTAAAGCTCTATCACAAATGTTCAAAGCCCAATTACATTGAGGTAGTTAATTAATAAAAGCATGCATCAGCATGCTGCTACAAGGGAGTAAAGGTTATTCAGACACCCACTTCATATTTTCTACAAAGGTACATAGGACTGATGAAAGTTAAACACAAATATATCTACCAAATTGCAAATTCCAGAAAATTAGGTGCATTTTAAGGAGTTCCCACTTCCATTCTTATTTTGCAGAAAGCCTAATGTAACGTGAAGAAACGTATTGCGCTGATAATTTTGGTTGCTATAATGAAGTTCTGAGAACAATCCATACTGGTAATACTGCTCATACGCTGTATTGAATAAGATTTTATGGTTTTTGGAATAAACCCTGTTAAATTCAGTTTCAATATGCTGAACAGTTTAGGTGGAATTTGGTATTTACTTATAACTTTGTTCTCAAAAATATTCAGAATCATATACTATTTACATTTTAAGATATATCCAATAATTTATTTGCACAAGCCTACACAAATGTAAGAAGGAAGAAGGCCAAAAAGAAAAATCATGAGAAAATTCTTATTCTTGAAATTATACATTTACAGTAGCATTTAGTTATCTTTCTCTGAAACTGCAAACCACAATGACAAGCAGAATGAAATCTTACGAGAGGTTCTTGTGTGTTCTGGGCACTGGCAAGGTTCTGTTTCTCTACAATCACTTTCTTTGTCCATTGGGTGACCACTGCTGCTCGTGCCGTCTCGATTGCAAGGAGCTTCTTCATTTTCTCTCTGCAGACACACACGGTATTCATTCAGTGTACCAAAACTGTCATTAATTTCACGACCGCTTTATAATGTTTATCATAAATAATGGCGTACCTTTTGATCTTCAGCCTGTGGAATATGGCAATCATGATCACCACTCCCGCCAGGAAGAGTGTGCAGAGGACTACTGCTACGATATTCACCAGAGTGGGCTGGAGTTTCGGCGTCTGTGTGAGCTCGACTTCCAAACCTACAGCACATGAGCAAATTCACTATGCTGTAAGCACAACAGTGTGGCAGAGATCTAAACGGACATGGTCCTCACACGGTCCCTCATCCTAAGGAAGTAACATATATTGAGGGCACTTAAGCTGAAAGTGATGCACAAATAACATTGTGGAACTTCATAATTTGTACTCTTCACCAACTAAAGTTAGGATAAAATCAAGGAGGATGAAAGGGGCAGGACTTGGGGGGACAAGAAACCTGAACACAGTTTTAGTTGGACAACCTTCAGGGATGGGACAGCTTGGGAGATTTGGGTGTAAATGAGATAATGTTAAAATGGATATCCATAAAAGATGGGAAATTTATTGACCACCAGAGAGAATATCAATTTCTTACAAGGACTCTGTCTGCTCTATAGAGTTATTAGATACAATATTATGATTAGAACAATGTAACAGAAGAATGGAGAACATGATGAGCTTTATAACTTATACATTCCACTGAGTACTATTAGGGTGATTGTAAAAAGAAGTTGAAATTGGCAGAACATGCAACATGCAGCGGGAATGAAATGTATACAAACTTTGTTTTGAAATGGCTGTATAAAGAGATGGATGTACAGAAGTGAGTATATTAAGATGGATGTTAGAGAAAGAGCTGGTGAGAATGCGGAGTAGCTCAGGAAAAGGTCCAGTAGTGTGATTCATGACAAAGATTAATAAACTTCTTATTTTAAAGAAAGCAGGTGATTTAAATTTTTCCCAAGAAAGCTCCCGTACCCTGAAGACAGGCAAAGACACAAAGCACCTACCTACTAGTACCTACTGTCACAGACTAATGACAAGCAAATGGCCTTATATTATCCCTTCATTTCAACATTAAAAGACAAATCAAAGAACTGAGCTAAATAAGACTTGAGGTTCTCACAGCGGTGAGTATGAAGATTTCCGTCTTCTGGGTTGTTACGCTGTGTAGTCTGGTTGATGTTAACCAATGTTTCAGAGGTCATACTGCCTCCGTCACCCTGATGACGGAGGCAGTATGACCTCTGAAACGTTGGTTAACATCAACCAGACTACACAGCGCAACAACCCAGAAGACGGAAATCTTCAACTGAGCTAAAGCTTCATGGGTCCCCAGACCTTGTCAATAAAAGAGGTGACAGCATATACACCCAAGCAGTATTTGCAGGACTGTACAGTGCCCTTATGGACTTAGGAGAATAGGGAAAAATTCTCAACACATAACCAATCCCATTCCCAGTTAATGCTGTCATTACTCAATGGGGCAAAGCTCTTCTGAGTAATAAAGATTCGCTTCCTGCCTCAAAGGAAATATGCCACAAGTTAATGCTTATGGAAATGGTCCCTGTTTATTATGAGAACCAGACAAAACACATAAATACATTGTGGAGTTACTGAACGTTGTAGCAGGGGAGATATAGACTTAACGCATTATCACGTCATCAATAATACTGTGGCTCTTCCGCTGTTGCACTGTACAAAGCACCTTCACCCAAACATTCACTCACTTGGATGATGGACAGGGTGTAGGAGGAAGCTCTGCCATCTAACTACAAAAAGCTCATTGATTTGTTGCAAATGTCTGGCAAGTATAGAAGCAACATTCTATTAGAAGCACTCTCACTATGGTACTTTCACGAAAAACAAAGTCAATAAAATTTTCCAGCAAATGAAACGCCTTTGTGTTAATTTCTGCATGTAAATTTCTTTTTGGTTCAAAAACTGAAGGCACTAGATGTCCACTCTACAATCCACACGAGTTTTCTTCAGCTACAGAAAAAAAACTGAAAAAGCCAAACTCTGGTATGGTGTGGGCTCACCCATGGGGGCAGCATAGCCATTTGCGGGGAAACTTTCGCCCGAGGATTGCGGCAAGAAGACAAAGGGAAGTGATGGCGACCATGGTCCTCCAGGAGAATAATGGGCATGAAGTGGTGGTGGGACGGACTGACACTGGCACGGGGGACTCAGGCACTGGCCATGCCTCACCGCACAGAGCGTCAGCTGAAAGAGAACGGATGGCAATTTTGGTTTCTAATGATAACCAGGTGAAATGCTGGACAGGGGATGAACATGGTGCAGAAACACGTAACATATCTCCACGGCAGAGACTGCTCTTGAAAACACGACAGTTTCTCAGCTGGTCAAGAAATGTCCTGATTCTATGAAACCTAAATGTTCATCAAAATTTTCACAAAATCTTGCCAGTGGGCCTTATACTGAACCAACTGAATCTGGTTTACACATTGACATACTAAATATCAAAAATCTAGTTCAATTTTATCTTCCCATTTATTTCTAAGTCTACCAAATGGTCTCTTTCTTTCAAAATTTCTAACCTCAAATTTGTTTCACCCATGTGTAATACATGTCCTAATCATCTCTTTCATGATTTAATAATAACTCTGACAATATTAGTGAACAGCAAAAATTATGAAGTTTCTCATTATAAATTTTTATCAACTCCTTTGTTAATTTATCTTTCCTAGGGTCAAATGTCTTTCTCATCACTTCATTTCCAAACAGTTTGTTATCATTCCAAAGCATGACAGACCATATTTCACACAGAATATAAGAGGTAAAATTATTTTTATGGTGACTGAATGCAATAAAGCCTTCCGAACAATCAGTTCCGTCAGTACAGAATAAGTTTCCGTACTGGCATTGCTGACCATCTGACATTTCTTCAGAGACTGAGATTTTTTTTATTCATATACTTGAGGACACTTTATTAACTTCAGAAATATGGTCATGAAGCAGCACTGCTAACCTCTCAGCCACAACGTTCAGTAACAGTTCTTTACATTAAAACTAAATTTCTTTGATCACACTGTTGTATGTGGTAGTGCTTCAACTCTCAGCTGCTAGATAGAGCTCAAGTGTAATAAACCTCACGCACTGGAAGTCTCAGACAAAGTTTGTAGCAAGCTGAAGGAAACTGCTGAAACTGGAATGAAACTTAGGGAATGTGGAAATATAAAAACTGAACAAGACCAGGAAACGGCACACAACAAAGAAGGGAATTGAGAAACTGCAAAATCCAAGACCAGAAGTATCCCAGTCCTGCTAACATTGAAATATAAGTGAACATGACAGCTTACTATCAACAACATGTAGATATGCGCTGGCGTATGTCATTCCAAGGCTGTTTCCTGCGATGCAGGTGTACCACCCCTCATCATCATACGATACGTTGCTAAGCTCCAGTACTTCAGCAGTTTCTGTTGGAATACTGGACTGTTAATCAGAAACACACAATCAAAATCACGGCCAACATTTAGTACAGCATTTAACTTTTAACAAAATGGATTTAAGGTGGCATGGTATGCATAAAATGTCTTGGGGTTTTTAATGCAGCTAAAACAGAGTATTCACTGCTGAAGTGATACCACAATCCAAACTGTTCACACACACACATCTCACTAACACATATTTATTTCAAGAAACACAGAATCTTGAAATGTATATGGCATAATCTGGTACCTTCAAGTTCATCAGATTTATTTATTACACACTCTCCTTACAGTTATAAATGTTAAAAGAATAAGTCACCCAACACCATAATGGTAATGCATCTCAATGAAATCAAATTAAAAGGGAATGGTTCCACTTTGTTAGACCTGCCACTGGCCAACTGTGCTTAATTTAAGGGTGACAATGGGAAGAGCAAACACATTCACACCACTCACCAATTAAATCATTATGTCTGATTCAAATTTAATACATCCAAAAACACATACACATCTGCATAGACTACTTTTATAGCGTGATTTTGTGATACTGCTGTATCATCATGGGAAGGGAAGAACATGGTACTGACATATTAAGTAAGTAACATATATATATATGATCATAGCTCTATAGTTAAATCATACCGAGTTAATTATTTACTGTTTAAAATGTAAAACTACCATTTTTGCCCTTGCAATAACAAATATAACAAGAGAGAAAGACATCAAAGGAAACAAATAACATTTCAATCACTTGCACTAAAATTGTAGCATGAAATGTGATATTACTCAGTGATAAAGAAAGGAATACTTTCTATGTTTTGTTACAAAATATAAACATTTTACATTTTAAAAGTTATTCATTCTTTTTAGCAAAATCAAAATTGGTGCAGAGATGGGGAAACTGAAGGTAGAGCAGAACAAGAAAAGATGCAACAAAACATTAAATTACCTTTCAACAAATATTTTGTAGTCTATGAAGTAATGTAACACACTGTTCCATACAATAAGAAATTACAGTCACTTATCTACGAAACATATTTTCATAAACACAGTGCCTTTTCTTAATGTGGAGTTACTTTGAGGTTAAGTCTGACAATTTAAATGCATATTAACATAATTTTTATATATTTAACAAATCATGCCAGTACTGTATTAAATATCAGAGCATACTGCCAGGAAAAAAGCACTGAACAAACATGAGACAGACAATGTGTAAATTTGATTCCACATCCTGAAGTCAAGATACAAGACAAATGTACCAGTGTTCAGTGATATGATACAATCAGCAAGATACTGTATTTTCATTAGCAAGACACTGTTTATCTTAAACACAATGACAACACTAAAAAACTTACTTGTTTCCCCCAAATTTAATATCAGAAAAGAGCAAAGAGCCAGTAGCAATCAACTAAGAGCAGGACAGAGGCAACTTTCAGACATCCTTCATATAATGGGCAAATCTAAAACTGACTGGCTGGCCACTGAGATGTGCTGTTAAAATGTGGTCCCCCATGCACAGTCAAGCAACATGCCATGGTGATATATGGAGTAAGTGGTAGTCATGATGCTGATCAGTCTTGTAGGAAATTACCAATATTTCAAAATAACATACAACCTCCATCTTTAGCTTGAAATGTGAGCAGCATAAATCATTGTTTGATAAAGAGTTCTCAAAATTATTAAATCAACACAAGGATGCTAAACTGCATAGAAAAGCAGCCCACAGCTAAAGTAATTTGATGAAAAATTAATACTCGCTTCATTGCTGTCATAGAAGTTGAAGTGTTCTTGGCTGTGACATCACCAAAAATGTGGGAAAATGGGGAATAAGGTCTTTTACAGTAATTCTGTACTCGGTCATATTTGGCACATCATGTAAGTCAGTAATATTTGTCCACAAAACCTATTTAAACAAGCCAACTTTGTTATTGGAACATATGAAAGATTAAGAGTATGCAGTACGTCAGAAGCAAGAACGACAGATGACTGAAGTTTCCAGTGTGCTGAAACTCGTGACACTCCACCTAGCATGTCTAATAAGCACTAACAGTGGTGCTGTGTCAACATGCCATGCAAGCAGCAAGCAGATTAATCTGCAATCAGTGTTGCCAACTATATTACATGCAACAAAACACATGCATCATGCAGCACCCATAAATAAGAGAGGACTGATATACCTTCACCACGTTATTAGTTTCTGTTTCATTAAGGGAAGTGAAGTACCCCCGAAACCACTCAACATGTGGATGAAGATCAGATAGAACTTCACACCGAAATGACTCGTTATGACCCACCACCACAGTCGAGTTTTTTGGGGCCTCCGTTAGAATTGGTCTATGATGGAGACGCTCTAAAAAAACAAGGCACATTCATAGAGAAGCTTGCTGGGACGAAATAAAGCAATCCTCCTGAACAAGCAGCATGAAACCCACTTAAGAAAGTACTCACCACTTTAAAGGTTACTTGTTAAACAACATCACCTTCAGCTGTTGAGTAATCAGATTTAGGGTTCTCATGGCAGCAAAGATGTCAATGTTGGTCTTCTGAATTGTAATTCCTTGTGGACAAGATATTAACATTCAGAGGAACATACTTCAGCCTGAAGATGGAGACAGTATATTCCTCTAAAGTTTTGGTACCTATATGTAAGTCCACACAGTATTACAGAAGACCAACTTCAAAATAAAATTTTACTTTGTTATTCTTTTATAGATGATTGTAACATTCATTATTTTTGTAATCAGTTTTTTTTTCATCTTTCCTTCGATGAGTTAACAAGACAGAATATTTCTTTAAGGAAGAAAATATAGATTTCTAGGACACATTTCTTAAGTAGGTTCAAGATGGTTATTCAGCAAGTTGGGGTACAAGTCCCTCTGCTACCTGCACCTCTCACCTGAATAGGGATAGTGTAATTGTCATCCACAGAGTCTATTCCTTCCTCGAACATGTGGGGCATCTTTATCCACTGTATGTGAGGCTCAAGGTCAGAGTATGTGGGACACTCAAACTTCACTGTTGTGTTCACCAATGTCGTAACATTGCGCGGATAATCGTCCTTCACATATGGCTTGTGAGGATATCGTTCTGGCAGGAATGAATACACAGTATTGTAAGAGAGAACTTGAACGACAACAAAGTTTGAGTTCTCTCTTCCTGTACCAAATCAGAATTTCTTTTCTCTGTGTCATTCTCACATGAACTGAAGCACACACAAAAAAAAAAAGTTGCAATGACCTCTTCACCCAAAATGGCCATGTACAACAAGAAGTATAAAACCATGAGAACAACCAGGCTACATCTGCTAAATACACACTTTTTTAAATGACAATTTCTTGCTTAATTTTATATCTTTTTCAAGTGTGCCCCCTCCCCCACCCACATTCTGACTTTCACAGTAACAACAAAACATCTTCTTGAAATTCAGTAAGTTCATGATCACCCATTTATCTTCTGGGTAAGAGCTCCTTAATACAAACTGAATTAAAAGGAATAAGTATGTAAAAAAATACACAAATAAATAACACTAACAAAAATAAATAATAATTATGTAAGCAATTAAACACTCTATAAACATGTAATTAAAACAAAAAATAAAATTAGTGACAACTGATAAATAACTAAATGAATAAAATATAAATGAACAGAAAAAATGAAGTGAAATACAATATAAGAAAATAAAACTATAATAAAATAAATATTTAAAATATATTAAAGCATAAGTAAATGAAAGGGTGTCCATGTGACTAAGCACTGTACCACATATACAAAGTAGAAGTAAATCTCCCCTCATTCTTAATGTTGGCAGTAGAAGGAGGTGAATTGTCAGGTTCGTGCTCTAGATGATGTAACTGAAGAGAAAAGTTCCCAGGTACCAATCCGATAGAAGTACCACAGCCAGTCAAGCAGTTCTGGCTCATTATAGATCAGTAATGTGACGGTAGTACAAATGAAATTAACTTACCAATGATATCCACTTTGAAAGTGAAGTTTATGCAGCCGCACAAGTTGCACACTATGCACGTGTAATTTCCGGAGTCTGACACCACCAAGTCTTCTAGTATGAGAGACCAGCGACCACTGCGGATGCTGCCCAAATTACGATCAGGAGCAGACCCATCCTTCGTCCAGGTGATATTGGGTTCTGGGTTGCCTGTGCAAAGTTTAGGAGAGCCCATGACCTCTATTAAGTGCTCCAGTGACCTGTATCAGCCGTGTGCTACGGCAAATGCGCACAACGGCCGGCCACGCATCATGACAGCATACTGCTTATCACTAAGTCTAGTTAGCAGCCCCATAACACAGGATATAAACCCCTTATACCTGTACACAAGTTACTGTCCATATGTCCCAGAGCCTGAGGCACAGTGAACGCTTTTGCATAATTAACTGGTTCAGGGCCTTTCATCAGAAATTCATAGCTATTTGTTTCTAAAGAAACTCAATGTTTTTATATTAATGTACTGGACAGAAAGAACCTTGTCATTGCATGGTTAGTACTCCTGCTTCATACCCAGGATGTTCAGTTTTAAAATCTCAGCTTGAGATTGGCCATCATGAATGAGTTTTCTTGTGGTTTTCCTCAGTCTTTCCAGGCAAATGCCAAGATAGTACCTTACAACAGACCATCCACATCCTTTCCAATTCATTATTCACTAGTCATCCCATCATTTGACATTTTACAATGTAAGGAGTGGAAAGTGTCATCAAATAAAGCAAGAATAATACAGAGCTCTGAAACCAAAATAGCATTGAACAGATCTCTTTTGTGAGTTAATTACCTTCTGCAGGACATTTCAAACGCAGCATGTTCCCAGCAGGTTTTGCTACCACACGATTCATGTTGCCAGGCTTAGTGAAGCGAGGAGGCATCTGTGGAACAGTCTCATTGTACTCCCCTGCTACTCGGTTAGTCTCAGTGTCATGGGAGTCCTCTTGGTCACTCATCTGGGATAACGAAGTGGGATTTTCTGAAACTTGACAAAATATAACAGTGTATGAAACCAACTGGTAGATGTAAAAATAAGATCATTTCTGCAAGACAGAAGAGGCTTACATTTCTGACTACCACTAAATTACTTAATAAACACACGGAGTAGTGAGTAAGAGATTCATACAATCACTAACTCTTAACCCAGTAGACACAACAGCACAAACGATGTACGTTGTATGTGTTTCAAACTCAATTCTGCATTACAAACTATAAGAATGTTGTCAACATTATTATGGATGGGTTGTGTTGACTCAGTCATGATATGGCTCAAATTATGTTACCCTTTGAAGCACAAAGTTTTTCTAAATAGCATTTAAAAAATCAGTCTGTACCTCAAAGAAAACACAACATGTCTCCATGACAGTGACCAATTTGTTAATTCTGTTTATGGAAAAAATCACTGTTTATTTTGAGAATCATATGAAACCAATACATACAATCTGTAGGCAAAATGCAGAGTTACTTTTTGTTAAATAAGGTGGTGCACATAGTCACCAGTTGGGTTTAAAGGTCTGAACTCTTGTCACTCATATCACCAACTGACATAATGCAGCAGGCTTACATACATAGAACAAAATCTTATTCCCTGAAACACAGGAAGGGTTGTAAACAGACAGACATGCTAATAATAGTGATTTTGTATGTCATCATAATACTAAAGTGGTTATCAGAAAGCCGAAGTAAACTTCTGGGAAGGTATTAGTTTTAAAACATCACCAAAAAATGTCATCAAATTTTTATTTCAGCACATGCACTGTCCACATTATTAGTGTTCCTACGTAACACTGCACCATCTCACAAGCATTTTAAAACATGTGAGGATGACAGAAACAACCTTCCTCAATTGTCCAAAATCTTGATGACTTACAGTAACAGAATTAAAAAGACTTCCAAGGGGAAATTAAAGTATTTTATGATGACGTCCGACACTTTGCTTTGCAGCAGAAGACTGTCCAAATATTCCACCACACATATGCCCTTCATATGAACCCTCAACAGTAAAACCAAACGTCCACTTCCAGACTATAATTATTTTCACTGCTTCAGGATACACTGAATTTAAAACACTGTGACAAAGACATAAATGTCTGTATAATTCTACCAACAAGAAAATAATTTGCTTAAAATGCATAACTTACTGCTAACAACATGAAGATATGCATTGCCAAATGTCTCTCCAAAGCTGTTCTCAGCAACACAGGTGTACCAACCCTTATCTCCAAACGTCACATTTCTGATAACTAGAACTTCTGGAGTGTTGGTATATATTCTGGACTATTAAAAAAATTTGCAATAATTAAAATCAACCAAAAACAAGATATCAGACTTATGCTCTAACTTCAACAATTTCAGTACAATAAATTAATATATTACAATGACATTTCACTCTCAATGACTGAATCTTGCACAAAAGATGTTGAATGCATTGGAATTTCACAAAATGGTTTGTCATTTCAAAATTACATTTGTTGTCTTAATTCAACTACACTTCCATAATTTTTTTCCAGAACTTAATAAAAAAGATCATGAAGTTATAATCAGTATCTGAATATTAAGCCCTAAATTGACTTATTTAATTCAAAGCGCTCTGAAATTTGTTGGTTTCAAACACAATTCAAGTACTGTATGATCTTTTTGTCACCAAAGTTGGAGCACTGAAGACATTTTGCAACTTACATTAGTGCCGGTTGTTGTTTACATCCTCTGTAGCTTTAAAATTAATAAAGGAATAATGTATGAGAAAACTGTTCTAACAACTAGAAGCAGCCGATCACTGCAGATCAGTGTATCAGGGCAAATTTCTGAGATGGTCTTGGTGAAGTTTTCGGTCTCATAAGAAAGGAAAATTCCTTGAACAGCGAAACAGACTATCAGTCCAGTTGCTTACAGCATAACCACAGGATATAATAACCCAAGTGGAAATTTCTCTTCTACCTCTGCTTTTGGGAAAATTCACATCACCCGCACTTACTTCAAAGTTTGAGGCCTCTAATTAGGGGATTACCATGTATTTTGCATAAAACAACAATCTGGTAAAATAACTTCTGATGTTATGTCCAAAAAAGAACAGGTTTTATGAAAGGGAAATGAACCAATAGTCACTGGATCTGGGTCCTGTACAAACAAATTATCTAATTGACAATCAATCATATTCTGAGAGGGTTTACATACCTTTTCATTCTTGTAGGAGGTGAAATACCCCTGAAACCATGTAATTTGTGGATGCCCAGATAGAACTTCACAATGAAATGATGCATTCTGTCCGACCATGACAGTTGAGTTTTGTAGGACTTCAGTCAGCTTTGGTTTCTGATCGTGAGGATCTAGAAGAAGATGCGCAATCATGCAGAAATGCCTCATGTTGCAAGAACAAAAATCAAATTGATGAATACGGAAAGCAAGATGAAATAACGTGTAAATTTCACACATAAACTGCAGCCCTTGCATTCTGACACTCTCTTGTCTAACCATTTATCAACTGAACAAAACAGACAAGACATAGAATAGTGTAACAGTGAGATACGCATATGTCAAAAAAAGACATTAATAATAAAATATTATGGATAGCTGCATCAGTTTGTAACATGTGCATGCAGACAGACACATTTAATACATGCACACATGTAATTCACGTGCGCACACACGAATTACATGTAACTGAAACCTGGTCTCCAAGCTTTAAGCAAACTTAATCAAGCAGACATGGAGGACCTGTCTCTTCAGTTCAGTGGGTTAATTGCAAAATTGTCTTGCTTTCTATCTTCTACACACACACGCACACACGCACGCACGCACGCACGCAAGCGTGCACGACAACATACCGATAATGTTGACTTTGAATGTGAAGTTTATGCAGCCAACCAAGTTACAGACAATGCATGTGTAATTTCCAGAGTCCCGCACAGCTGTCTCTTCCATTTTCATTGACCACTGACCATAATAGAGATTACTTAGAATATTTCCGTCCTTGGTCCAAGTAATGTTCGGCTCTGGGTTTCCTGTGGACACAGTCATACTGTAAACAACAGTCGTTCTAAAGCCAAAGACGTCTCCTTCATCAGAAGAAAGAATCACTAACCTTCTGCAAGACAGTTGAGACGCACCATGCTTCCAGCAGGTTTCGTCACTGCACGGTTCATGCCGTTTGTTTCCATGAAATGCGGCGCCATTTGAGGCAATGTCTTATTATGTACTCCTACTGCATGGTTATTCTCACCGACCACAGTGTCTTCCAGTTCATGTACAAGTGACATGGACGTCAGGTTTGCTACAAGCAAAAAATTAATTCATCATAAAACATAAGCAGTTCTCATCGACACTTTCAGAATAGTTCTGAAGCCTACCCCCACCCTACAACACCACAGATAAAGTGGCTGAAACATGAATCTGGTCAGACGACATGTTTGCATATCCTAATCTTCTTTAGAAAAGCAGACATGAAGGACTCACAACCAATGAGCATTTCCTGAAATCGTTTAATCTTAAGTTCATCATGAACGTCATTTTCATGCGCAGAATCTTGATTCCCCCACCTCTGAGCATCACATCTGCATCATCCAGTCTCTTCCCAGGATGAAGTTCGTAATTGTAGCTCTCACCACCCGTGGTCAGATCTTCACGCCGCTCAATCACTTCAGGAAGGTGCGCTGCTGCCACATCTTGGAGAGAGTTTGCGTGCTCAATGGCATCATGTATCATCAGAGTGACATTACGACACTGTTCAGTGCCATTCTCCATTCTCACACAGCAGCCGTATCTGCCAGCATCAGCGAATTGCAATGCCCTGAACTTCACCCTAGAAATGAATAATCACAATTATCAAGCAGCGTGCAGCTGTTCGATGGATCTGCGCAAAGTTGGAAGACACTCAGTCATTGGGAGATTAAATCACCGCGTAAGAAGACATTACAACCAACGTAACCTAGAAAAGGGAGATTTTTATTACTACTACTACTATTAAAACAAAATTTAAAAATGTTACCAAAATGAGTAAAACATCACTTGTGTTGCCACTTATAGAAAAAATATAACCGCGTTACAGCCACGCAGAGAAAACAGAAGTGGTAAATCTGACTTCTTATGGGTGGCACCAACGGAAGTAGAAACCCAATAAGAAATGCAGTGTAGATGGGAATGTGCACATTACACGGCCAAAGACTAACTGGGCAATTTTCCCCCATTTTGGAACATAGCTGAGTAAACAGTTTACAGACAAAGTAAAGTAAAGTTTGTCTGACTACGCGCCATATAGGAGCTTGGGGGGAGAGGAGGTATAGCTCCTACTCATTCTTGACCTCGGCACTAGATGGGGGTGAGTGGTCAGCATCACGCCCCAGCCGGCTTTACCCCCGGGAAAGGACCCCCGGTACCCATTGTAGAGGAGGCTGGGTGGGCCCCAGAGCCGGTCTGGACGCAGAGACTAGAGGAAAGTTCCTTTGCCCCCGTCGGGGATCGAACCCCGGTCGTCCAGCCCGTAGCTAGTCACTATACTGACTGAGCTATTCCGGCTCATAGTTTACAGACAACAAATCTCAATAATCCCAACTTACGCCTGTCTGGTAATCTTGACCTGGGGAAGCCTGGATCGTAAGACAGTGCCATCCTTGTACCAGCTGACGTTTGCGACAGAGTCACAACGCAGTCGTAACTTGTCACCCACGGCTACCTTCTCTGTGAAATCAGCCCCACCACCTGCAATAAAATAGATTTAAGGATAATATTAAAATTGATTATAGATAAACTGCCTGTTAATGTATAAACTGGATTAAGCTACCTCAGTATGGGGTTCACTGATGAGTTTTGAGAACACGGTATATTGGACCTTTAAATTTTAAGGAAGTGGGGAACTTTTTGAGTAGCAAAATAAGTAGAACCACCAAATGCTTAAATAATATTTCCCATTTCAGTAAGTCAGTTATGTACTCGTGACAGGAAGATGGAGAAATTATATGCAGAGGGGCTTAATAATTTGCATTCTTCTCGAGATACCGAGACCAACAGATGAGGATGAGCTGGATGGGGCAGGAAATGCACTCTGAAGAAACGAGAAATGCATACAGAATTTTAGACTTAAGACCCGAATGCAAGAGACCACTTGGAATGAAAATTATTAAAACGCGTTTATTCATGGTTTATTTAACAACGATAACATCTCAGGAAGAGGGCACGCCCTAATGCGATGTTCTGTCCCTGTTAAAATGAATCTTAAGTGAATATGATGTGGAAGTTTTCTTAATCAGCTGAGCTACTATCAACTTGTCAATGACTGCATCAAGGTCTGATAGCGAATTTGTGTGTTCTACGCAGACACTTCTGAGCAAGCCACATTAAAGCTACATTAAAGCCCATAGTAGTCCACCTGCTGTTAAATTGTCTTCTGTGTCTGTGAGTCTGGCCAGCGGTTTAGACTCACAGACAGTTATGGCCGTCGAACAGTAAATGATTGCCACTATTAACCCTCGTTTTAATTGCGTGCAGTGAGTTCGCTCCGAGCTGTTTGGTTCTACGCATCCACCTCATTCTTTTGTCTACAAAAGCTGCTACATTAAACAGCAGGGGTCTAAGAAGGCAATTAATTGCCCACGCGTGCATTTCACCCTTCAAAGTACACTGGTAACTATATATACCACCTGCTTTAACATAACTCAGCATTTTGTATTTATGTGTTTCGTACGATTCTTAATGCAAACAGCAGCTTTAATCAGTTGATTTTCGTAACGGTGAAGTGTAGTGTTTTCTTCGCGGTACGGGCTGGATTTTTATATTCAGATGAGCTTCGGGTTCTGCCGTACAGAGTTCCGACGGGTTATGAAAACCACGTGGAATCGTGTGTGCGTGTGGAGGCGGCGTTTCATCAACTGGATGTGGCACACGGCATCAGTTTCTCCTGGCACAGGGAGAAAGGGAGAGGAGTGTGTCAAGAGAATTTTGCTGCACGTTCGCTGTCGCAATCTGCAGGAAAATAGTCTGGGGAAGTGTGAGGGACAATGGCGCGACTGGGCTGTCGTACGAAACAGAAGTTTGTCACTGTATCTCAAATACCGAGAAACAGAAATTATGGCTCTAAATTCGACGAAGACTTATGTCTCTTGGCGTCACCGCGGCATCGTAAGAAAAGAACTATCTTCGATGTGATTGGTTCATCCTGCTCTAACAGCCGTTTTTGAAGTCTAAAAGGACAGCTGAGAAGTCAAAGGAATTATGTGTCTTGGTGTCCAACAACAAATGAGAATCTTGTAGGTACCTGGAGCTGCAGACACGCAGAGCATCTGTGACGCACGTGTGTTGGAGCAGCGAGATGCCCCAGCTACCCGTCAGAAATTTCAACCCCCCACACGAGATCCAGTACAAACCCACATGGAAAACCCTCCACGCCCTCTCCCGTCCCTAAACAGAGCAGCAGCAGCAAATATATCGCATTATCCACACATAACCCGACCAGGGCTGAACAAAATCACAGACAGAACCGAAACACGCGAGCTCCATCTCCTACACAAAATGGAA